TGTAAGTCAGATAAGATACCTGAGAAGTAGAAGCTTAAGGGTTAAAAGAAGAAATAAAACATGAAAGGAGAGTTTTAAGGAGAGAGAAGATATAAAGGAAGGAAGGGATGATGGTAAGGAGAAAAGGGCCAGCAATGCCAGATGCTGTAGAAAGTTCACAAAAGATAAGGGTGGAAAAGTATCCTTTTGCTTTTGGCAGCTTGAAAACCAACTGCTTTAGTGAATCATTTCATTGCAGAGGTGGTAGGTCTGGAAACTAAACTGCAGTACTTTGAAGATACAACAGCAGACAAAGAAGTAAGACATCTACTATAGACAACTGTTAGAAGAAACCTTGCTGTAAAAGAAAGAAAAAGGAGCACACTGAGTGGAAGGAGATTTTTTTGTGATTTTTTTTTTTTTTGTTGTTGCTATGCTTATTGTTTTAAGATTTGTTAAAGTGTAGATCCTAAGCCCCACTGGAGATCTACCTTATAGGGTATGCTTTACAAAAAAGGCAAAATCATGATTCTCATGCAAATACAAAATGAATACATGTCAAAGATTTTATTCAACTAATTAATTAATGAGAGAGCCAGTAAGATGTTAAAACTGGTCCAAAGAGTATTTGAGATGCTAGGTGTTTATAGGTGGTGTTATGATATGATTGCTTGGTTAGATGGCCAGAACTGGTTAATGACTAACAGGATCATAAATTGTAACATTTGGGATTATCTCTTCAACCACAGAGAATTGTATGTATCTTTACCAGACAAAAATCTAGGCATTAACATGTAACATCATTAACACTGGTACCTTTAATCAGTAAAATGGCAAGTTGAACTATTTTGTCCCTTTGTCTTTGGGTGGCTTTGTCACATATTGCATTTAAAGGACATGCTGCTTACCTTTTTAAACCTATTTCTAAATTTTATGTAATTTTTCTGACATTATTAGAATCTATGAAGACAGAGGTGTGAGACCCCTTCATTTAATTAGCTGCTGTGTTGTTGTCAGGTGCCTTCAAGTTGGTTCTGACTTATAGCGACCTTGTGTACAACGGAACATAACTTTTGCCCGGTCCTGTGCCGTCCTCACAGTCATTGCTACGTTTGAGCCCATTGTTGCAGCCACTGTGTCAGTCCATCTTTTGTTAAGGGTCTTCTTCTTTTTCGCTGACCCTGTACCTTACCAAGCATGATGTCCTTCTCCAGGGACTGGTCCTTCCTAATAACATGTCCAGAGGACTTGAGACGAAGTCTCCACATCCTTTCTTGTAAGGAGCATTCTGGCTGTACTTCTAAGACAGTTCTTTTTGTTCTTCTGGCAGTCTGTGTTGTTGTTAGGTGCCATCAAGTCAGTTCTGACTCATAG